ATCGTCTCCAGAAGCAGTCTGGTACGCTTGCTCCACTACCTGCCTTGCATTGGTCTCGAAAAGGACTGTTTCCGGGACGATATTCAGATCCTTTAAAGCCACAATACTGTTGAACTTCGAGGGCGCTGTACTGGCGTCATCTGAGCGTCGCCGACGAACAACTCTCCAGATGAATTCTCGAAGGGCAACGAGTTTGAACTCGTCATCCACAGTCATACCCGCATTTCGGAGTTTTCGCAGCCATTGCTCATCCTCTTCGTTCTTTTGCATCCTTTGGAGGATTTTGGGATCTAGTTCTCGTCCAGATATCGTCGGCAAGGTATCTTCCGTCGATCCGAATGTGAAAGTCTGTTGTTGCCTGACGGACACCCAAAAGAGCCCCTTCTGTGATTGCATTGCCCAGTTAGAAGCCATTTCCATGACTAGCCTCGGCAATGGTCTTTTAAGAGCATCTAGTAGACGTAGTTGGGAAAAGCCCGAAGGGACGATCTTGAGATAAGGCCGTATGAGATTGACAAGGATGCTGTGCGTATCCGCCACGGAAAGATATTTTGAAGCAGCGGATATGAATTGTGCGGCAGCCTCGCGGATCCAGAGATTTGGATGCATCGTCAAACGTGCGACTATATCAACGAGTTCCCATGTTTTCGATCTCTGAAACAGACCCAACTCGGCGATGGATGAAAATGCCCTGATAACCTTTTCCACGACGAATTCTTCAGTATCGGTCAAAGCTTGGACCATCAAAGGCAATATGTAGCCTTCCAGGCTGGGGCCTCCAACAAATACAGCTACACCGACGATGGCGTCAAAGAAAGCGCATTTGAGCATCCAGTCAGGATCGTTGAGATATGTATTGAGATGACTCAGGACGACATCATTGGCGCGAGGGCTGCCGAAGAAGACGCACAGGTCGGAGACGGACCTTAGCATGGCTCGGCGGACGGAAGCCTCAGGATCGGTAAGGAGAGCTGTAGTGTGCTTTTCGAAGGCTTCTACTAGATTATGCCTGTCCATGTCGAATTGGTTCCGCTGGACAGACGAAGTAAGTGCGCCTTCACCAGTCGCATCAATATTCGGCAAGGCTCCTTCGGCACGCAGCGCTTGTATCATGTCAAGATATCTCGCTGCCGTGGTAGCGAGGGTTCCAATGCACCATGCGTAATGCATACGTACTAAAGAACTCGGCCGGCCGGCCGAAGAGTCTGGGAGGTAGGGTTCAAGGCGTTGAAGTACGTACTCTGGAAAGATGTACGCGTTGATAGGTGAGACAACGTGGACCATGGCAAGGATCTGGGTCAGGGTCCGTAAAGCTCCGATCTTGACTTGGTCGGATTTGTCTAGTAACAGAGTCGCCACGTACGGAATGACACGATCCAACTTCGCTTCATCCGTCAATCGTTCCGCGAAAGCTAGGAGCAGTTCGAAACCGCGAAGGCGAGCAGACGCTCTTGCGGTTCCTCTGATGCATGAGACAATGATGGTCAGGAAGATGAGATTGCCGTCGTCGACAGCGAGGCTAGGCATTGGAGAGGCTTGATGTTGATAATTCGGGATGTCCACGGTCAATGGGAAAAGTTTCGCATTTGGCTTGGGGGGAGAATGGTGTGGCCTTGTCGGATTCTGTCCGTCGTTGCCAGCAAGGAGAATCGATATCTTATCAAAGTCATTGTAAATCTGTTCGATCCTCTCATCAGGCTCCCCAAGATGTTCAAACGCAGTTGTCACTGGTTTCCGACCTGAAGCCGGATCTGTGATAGAGTGCATGTACTGATGGAGGAATCCATTATAGTAACTCGGGAACGCCTTGTCCTGCCAGAACCTGAGGTAGTCATCCGCGGATAATCGCGAGTTAGGGTCGAGTTGTATCATATGTGCAACTAGCTCCCTAACATTGGGGTCTTGTATTTTGCTGAGATGCGAATGCGTCGGGTCATACTCCTGCTGACGGTATTTCAGGAGCTGACTGAGAGAAAAGATGGGGGCTTCAAGGAAGAGCTCTGCAATGACACAGCCGACGCTGAATATGTCCATTGCCCAAGTGATGACATGTTCTCCTTCTGGTTCCACGCCTGACGGAAAGAAACGTTCAGGTGCAAGGTAACAGGTTCGCCGGCCAGAGATGTCGAAGAAGAACGAAAAGTTTGCGGGGTTGTCCTCGGGTAGATACGTTTGTTTAAAGGACGAAGAGAAGTCTGTCAGATACAGCCAGTTCCAGGATGTGACAAGGACGTTTTCAGTCTTGATGTCGCCATGGTAGATGCCTCGAGCATGGCAGTCGCGGACAGCGCAGAGAAGCTGAAAAGAGAGCCATTTCTTCTCGATCTCTTCAAGGAAAGGGCGAGTACTCAAACGGTCATATAATGAGCTGTGAATGTATTGCCGGACAAGGTATCCGCTAGCACCAGTCTCAAGAATGCGGTGGTACGCCAAAGCATTTGGGACGTCAGCGAGCAATTTCCGTTCCTCTGATAATGCATTAGTGTCATCATGGACCTAAGATTGTATACCGAAGAACCTACCTAGAAGTCGTCTAACATAAGGATCGAAGTCGAAGTCGGTCCAAGGCCTCATCACGACCCTAGCTACTACCAGACCATCCTTGTGGCGCGCTCGGACCGTCTTCATAAAACGGGCCGCTCCAAGATTTCTCTCATACTGAAGATCCGCAAGCTCAGGTACATCTATCCCAGCCGCGTTGGCTGAGAGAGTCGTGAGAGAAAAACCTTGGCCCATGGTTCAGGGTTGACGACGGAGTTCAGGGTAGAAAGGGTGCCGCTGCCTCCCAGCCCGCATAGTGCACGCGGAGTCTACGGGGAAGATACCATGCCTGGCGTGAATTACGGGGAGAGCTGATGTAGGATCAGTATGGTTTCGTAACGTTTCCTTCTGCGTGGTCGAGGTTTGCTGAACAATCGCGCTGATGTAGTAGACTGCATCATGTGCGTGAAGCTCGAGGTTATCTTTCACCACTTGCGCGGCAGTGCCTCTGCGCTAGTCCCGAAACAGCAAAGCCGCCTTCCAAGGCATATGTCCACGCAACACGTATGCGATTTGCTCTCCACCACCAGCAATGGCCTCCAAACGGCAGAAGATTGTGTTCCTCCACCCCGATCTGGGTATCGGCGGTGCCGAGCGGCTCGTTATCGACGCTGCCGTGGGCCTGCAAAACCGTGGCCACCAAGTCACCATCTTCACGTCGCACTGCGATCCTGCGCATTGCTTCGACGAAGCTCGCGATGGTAAGCTCATTACCACTTCTACTGTCTCCGACCGCTTATTTTCGGACAAGGCCGCTGAGACTGCGCCCTGACGCAAAGGAACCCTCGATGTTCGAGTACGCGGAAACACCATCGTGCCCCCCACTATCCTCGGCCGCTTCGCAATCCTATGCGCCATCCTACGCCAGCTGCATCTGATCCTGCAGATTACACTTTTCAGCAGCGAGTTGCAGAAGCTCACGCCTGACGCTTTCTTTGTCGATCAGCTGAGCGCTGGAATACCGCTTCTACGAGTGCTTCAAGCCAAAGCTCGCATCATATTCTACTGCCACTTTCCAGACAAGCTGCTAGCGAAGAAAGGCGGCATCCTGAAGACGCTATACAGAGGGCCATTCGATTGGCTTGAGAGCTGGAGTACTGGATGCAGCGACAAGATCGTAGTCAATAGCAAGTTCACCAAGAGCGTGTTCGCCGAGGCCTTCCCAAGTCTGAAGAACCGCGAACCAGGAGTGGTATACCCGTGCGTGGACATTAGCTCGGCAAACGCTATAGAAGAAGTCAAGCCGCTGTGGGGCAATAAGAAGATACTTCTCAGCATCAATCGCTATGAAAAGAAGAAGGACGTTGCTCTGGCGGTCAAGGCGTACGCGGCTCTGTCCCCAGAGGAGCGGCGGGGCACGAGGCTAGTGATAGCAGGTGGCTACGATCCTAGGGTCTCCGAAAACCTTGCGACGTACACAGAGCTGTACGAGCTGGCCGACTCGCTCCATCTCAAACACGCAACCGCGAAGACGGTCATCACTGCTCAGAGCATACCCGACGAAATTTCAGTTCTCTTCCTCCATTCGGTACCGAACGCTTTCAAAGCGTCGCTGCTGTCCACCTCCCGTCTCCTGGTGTATACACCACGTAACGAGCACTTTGGTATCGTGCCGCTCGAGGCAATGTTGGCTGGAACCCCGGTGTTGGCTGCAAACGAAGGCGGCCCTACAGAAACGGTCATCAGTGGACAGACTGGCTGGCTCCGGGACGTCAAGAAGGTGCAAGATTGGACCGAAGTCATGAGAATAGCACTAGAGGATGGAGATGGAGAGGTGCGACTGAAGGAGATGGGAAAATGGGGCCGGGAAAGGGTCGTATCCGAGTTTTCGAAAGAGAAGATGGCTGAGACGCTGGAGAACGAGATGCAAGCGATGATGACAGGTCGACGGCCCCACGTCATCACTATGAACCGAGTCGTGTTTATTGTCGGTGTGATCCCTGTTCTAGCCGCCCTAACTTGGTGGATTGTGGCCCAGAAGGTGAAAGCGAAGAGGCCTACTGTCTATCATGACAGCTTCTAGATACATGCAAATAGCTGAAGAGATGATTTTGATCGTCATTGAAGTCTAAATTCCTGAACTAGAAGACACTTCGAGTCCATCTCATACAAATATGCATGCAAGGCACATATCAATCAAGCCCGCAAGCTGGTGTCTGTTCATACACTAGTCTTTAACTACCTACCGGCGTGCGCTCGTGTTGCCTTCTCCGCGTATTGATATGTAGATATATGTACAGAAGCAGACCAAATGAAGAGAGCGCTTGAAAGTGCATCTGCGTGAGGCAGGGCAACAGTCACTGCTGAATGATTGATTGATAGCGTCGGTGTGCAAAAAAGGATCGCCCCAGCCCCTGGCCACCACCAATCTACCCAAACCCACGACGACAGCAAAAAGTAACGATCAGGTCGTGCCCGGGCCTTAGTAAATAAGTCAGCGATGATTCCGATAGCAAGCATGAGGGAGACATACTCGAACCGGGGTCGCCGGAAGCTTTTGACGAGAAATCAAAATCCGGAGTGATAACCACTACACTACACAACCGTAGTTGGAGAATTTATGTCATTTTGTGATACTAAATAGTAAATATAGTTTGCGGTTGAGCTGTAACAGGCGAACGGCGAGGGCAAGAAGGGCAATAGTTGACTAGATGATATCGTTGGCGGTCAGCCTTTGTGTGGATGGCTCAGGAAAGCCGCCATCGGATGCGGGACAGCCGGTGGGGCGGTCTAGAGGCGAGAGCTATCCGTGGTTTCGAGTCACACCAACACCTCGTCTCGAATGCTCGCCGTCTGCCTATGCGACTCTCGCATACATCTTCACTAATCCTTATATTCTCGGTGCAAGAAAAGGCACTGTCTAGGAGAGCCTGTAGAGCCTTATTCCATTCGGTAAGAAGGGCACCATTGCGTCCCCCACCATCCCAAATGCCCTCCAAGATCCCCTGATTGGGAGCTACACTCTTCGAGGCCGACTTCACATCGTTACAGTGATCACTTGACGAGGCACTTGATCAATTTGTTGCAATAGTATCTCGAAGCTTTGAGTATGCCCCTGTGCATGAGGAAGGTCACGGGACCAAGCACGTGCGCATGGCCCGTGCTCTGCCCAGGCGGTCTCCCCCCAAGGGTATATAAACCCTCTCTTTTCCTTCCCCTTTCTTCTTCCAACCTTGACAGGTACCTCGCCGCCTACGAGGATGCCATTAAAAATTGACAAAGGCCACGTCCTATGTCTTTCGTTGACGCTCATAGCTTGCCTATGACGTTGAAGAAGGGTCTCGAATACTGCGACGTTCCGCACCACGCGCACCTAAACCTACAACTGCTGAGCTGAACCCCGCGGGCACAACATCGTCGAATGCCCACTTCGCACCACGGGCAGCACATGGTTTTATACGTTGGCAGTCTCTTCGAGTCAGAACATGATTCTGGATGCTGTTATAAGCTTCTCTATATGTGCGATGTCTCTCGTTTAGATTATCCTCGGTGCCTGCAACACGCACCCTCTATGAGGTGCATGATAACCCCCAGCCTCATCGCTGCTGCCTAACTTCATCATGCCCTTGGATATGTTTGTTCTCCTCACACTCGAAACTAGCCTTATCAAAAGTAAAAGGCTCGACTTGATAGCCAAAGATCCCTTCCATACTTCTACGAAAACTACAGTCATTTCAAAATCATCATCATCGGCTTCTCGTTAGAGAACCCAACATGGCCGACAAATCACCCAGCACGATTGTCGGCTGCCTCCTCGATGTATCTGGATCCATGCGCGAAGCTCTGGAAGCCGGCCATGGAGACAACAGGACCGTCGATCGCTTCCACGCCATTCTATCTGCTGCACTCAAACTCGCAAAGGCAGAGCAGCGTCGTGATTCCAACGCCCTCATGTTCGTTGGCGCATTCGGTCTCCGCGAGGAAAAGCCCCCAGTCGTGGACCTTTGCCAACTCATCGAGGCGCTCGTCGCCGACGAGGTCTCTGACGAGACGGGCTACGACCTCTTGATTCGTCTCGCCAACGAACGCAATCAGCACCATATCACGAAGTATATCCGGACGAAGTTTACGGAAAACGAGGCACGCATGCTCTATGTACATTTGCAGCGGCATTCAGAACGCCTCGAGGAGTTCGTCAGAGCTATTCCTCCGCCCGAGAAGATGGAAAAGCTGCGCACTGGCTCGAAAGTGGCCGGCGCTGCAATCGGTGCCGTAGCTGGGTCGGTTTTGGCACCTGTCACTTTTGGCTTGTCGATTCCAATTGCCGCCACGCTGGGTGGTACCGTTGGGTCATCTATAGGAACAGCCATCGAAGAGGATGAAGTGGACAAGTCGGAAGCCCTGGGCCTTGCTCGCCGCATCTGCAAAGAATGGATGCAAGACTTTAAGGAACTTCTGCCGCGCCGAATAAGTGACGTTGTTGACTTGCTTGAGAAACTCCAGAGCAGTCAGATCCCTCGCAATCACAACCCAGAGGCGGAGTCCAATACACTACTTGACAGGCTCCGCCAATATGTGTATGGGAAGACTCCCATGCGGGAGTCGCTGAGCCAGTCGCTGAAAGTATTCAGAAGCCACCGCAACGCAGAAAATCGCGTCCTTGTACTGTTGTCGGACGGTCTCTCAACCGATGGCGACCCGCTACCCACCGCTCGCGAATTGCAGCAAGAGAAGGTAGTTATTGCAACAGTGTACCTGACCAAAGATCAAGCCGCCGCTCGCCGCCGCATTCACGATCAAGCTGCTCGCGATTGGAACGATGGCCAGAAGACCCTCTATGAAATGGCCGAGAGGGTCTCTTGTCTAACACATCCAATACCGGTGTTGGCAACCTTGGGTTGGAGCATTCCATCATCCGGTGAGGGTGCGCTACACGCCAGTGTGTGTAGCACCGCGGCCCTCGATGAATTTTGCTCAATGCTGTTGTCCGCTCGCTTCGGGTCGTCGGATGCTTTGCTCGATATTGCGGGCCGTGTCCGACTCGACAAGTACATCAACGACGAGCATGTACGCAACTGCAAGAATCCGTCGGACCAAGGTCAGTCTGCGACTTGCTACGCGCACGCTGCCGCCTTCGTACTACATTCGGCACTCCGTCGCATCGTCGGCCGCACCGGCGGCCATCCGAGCATCGAAGCAATACGAAACCGAATCCTCCAGTCATTCCCGAACCGCGAACGTGGGCATAGTGTTGAGAGGGTGCTTGAGGAAGCGATCAAGTGGTACCCCCCCATTTGCTTCCGCAAGGTGGACGAGGACGGCGCACGTCAGGCAGTCCTTCGACGTCGCCCCGTTCTGACAACATTCCATCTCTCCAACCCTGGCTGGAATGCCTTCTGCCGACATTTCGAAGAGGAAGCACCCACTCGTACTTCTCTGCTCACGAGCGAAAAGATGAGACCCCATCGCGACTTGCCGGATGACGGCGGACATGCAGTCGCTCTGGTCAAATGCGACCCTCATTCGCTAACGTTTCTCAACTCCTGGGGAGAGCATTGGGGCAACGGCGGCAGCTTCAGCATCCAAGACCCCACCGTGCTGCAGCTAAACAGCGCACCGGCATCATCCGACGTGTGTTTCTACGACGTGTACTGGCTGGAGAGCGGGTTGAGCAGCGAAGAACGGAGAGCGTACGATCGCCAGGTCGACGAAGAGCTGCGTGCCCGCGCGGAAGAATACCCGAGCATTCTCGACCTCGAGTACCGCTGCCCTCTCTGTCTGACCAGCTCGGCCATTGCGAAGTTCAAGGGGAATGTCTACCACGCCGTGTGCCCGTGTCCGGATTGCGGGAAGACTTTCGAGCCTGAGCCGGGCCATCTCATGGAAGCGCTTTATGCACGCGCAGGGCTAAGTTCCGTGGTCTGACTGAATTTATGTAAGAGTGGCTCTCCTAAGAGTCTGTTGCGTATGATTACCATTTGAGAATCTTACTTAGTTGAAGACTTGCAGATCCACTACGTCATCTACCAAAAGCCACAAAGGGGTCCATCTCGCATCTCGAAGCAACGTCCAGCATTGAAATTTGCTAATATACCAGCAGGCGCATCAGCACCAGCGTTGGCTTGGCCTATACCTTAACCCACGTCTCATTTGAGATTGGCTCTAGCAATTCCTCGCCCTCTGTGCACCGGCTGGTTCCACTTCACATACCATCTATTCGCGCCATGCCTCGACCAGAAACCCCACCGAAACCCCTACCCAAGCCCTCACCTCCCGCATCCGCGCTATCCAAAGCACATACCATGAGCTACCGCATCGGCCGCGGCGAAATGGGCGTTCTAACATTCGAGCCCTACAAATCCGCTATACTGCCACTCTGGCGCTTCAAGACGCCAGCCATCGCTCGGCAGAGCTCGCAGCAAATATACGAGAAGTTAGAGGCGTATAATGCCGAGGACGACTTTGTGGGTATGGATATGTGCCGCAAGTTCTTGCAGATGGTATGTATACTTACGTTGTTATTCCCGCTTAGTCGTCTTCGGCTTGTCATATACTGTGGTCCTAGGGTGGGAAGAGGAGAGTTTGGTGAGCTGTGCTACCGGGTCTCAGGTCTACTTCAAGTGGTCTCGTCTTGCTTGAGTTCAAGAAATGGGTCAAGCTGTTGGCGGCTTGTTCACCTACTCATCTGTAATGTGCTAGAACCGCTACACGATGCATAGTATATTCAGAGAGCAGTTGCTGATTCCCTACCAGGGTATGACGCGAGCAAAACGCTACGCCAACCACGCTGGCGGACGAAAATACTCAAAAACCACAGGCGCCGAACTCCCCAAAAGCAGCACGCACGCCGACGCAAACGAGAAGCTCGAGGCCTCGCTCATATTCCGGGAGCTCTGGGAGGAAGCGAAAAACCACGAGGGCTACCTCTCCAAGAAAGAAAAGTTTCTAGCCGAGCAGAAAGAGTGGGACAAGCAGCACAAGCAAGATATTCGATGAGGAGCAAAAAAAAGAAGAATTGTTGGATACGGTGCGATTCGAACGCACGTCACTCGGAGAAACCTGCGGGTGCGACTTTGGCACGAAACCAGAAGAAGCAACCCGTGAGTCCATGCCAACAAGGGTCTGACTGGTTCCGAGTGTCTTACCAACTAGACCACGTATCCTGGAAGACGAGATTTTGAGAATTCGAATGCGGTAGCTGGTATATACGTGGCTCGAGAAAATGGTGTGATCAAGAACGCCCATGCACTGTTGTAGAGCATGCGCAGTGAAGAGCAGGAATGGAGTGGTACGTTGAACCGGAGACAGAGCGTGACTCTAGGTCCCGGCTACGTAATGCAGGCATTATGCGTGAAGTCCCAAGGGCTCTGAGAGGGCGACTGGTCCGTAAGGAGAGAGCTATGATGTGCAACAAAGAGATCCAGAAGAGTGACCTAATCAGCAAAGGAGGCTTCGCGGTAGGCCAACGAGAGGCAACAGAGCAACCTGCGTTGTAAGAGCCCTGTGGCCAGCTTCGAACAAGTTCACCAGACTGGCAATGGACGGCGATAAGCGTTGTCGGAGAAAAGACCATAAGGCGGAACCTAGATTTGACTCGCTGTGGACTATGTCACAGAATCCCAAAATACGGTCGCACTTCTGAGTTCTGAGCTAGGTTGAGCCGAGGTGAGGCTGGGGTCGCTGGGGAGAGCTATGGCGATGCAATGCAAGTCATCTTGCGGACGGACCTCGTGCCCTTCGGATGATCGACAAGGCCTTCTTTCACCTCCAAGCTTGGGGCTGTCTCGTGTTCGGACTTGTACGCGCGTATGGCGGTTTAAAGCAGCGGACAGAGCAAATCCTTCAAAGGACCGTCTTTGTTCGTTATCATGACGCAGATTGAACCCGCTGAACGGCATCATCGCGCATCCTGTCGATATCCAGCACTGGGGACCGTCAGCCTGTCTCGAAATGGTGGAGAGCACGACCGATATCGTCAGCCTTACGGGTAAACACCGCAACGGGAAACTTTTTGACAGATCAGAGGTCGGGGTAGTGGACACCGAGTATGTACGAAGACGCGCACTGCAGATGAATTGCTTCCAATTCAGCATGCCGTACGTGAAGTCTTCAATCCTTTCACATTCTAGGCCAATTCGATGCCCCATTGGTCGAGTGCCTTGAAAGTCATCCTGCAATGCAAGTAAGCGACAGTCCACACGTACATATCCGATCACTCACTCGCTTAACCTGAGTCCCTCCCCTACTACAACAGGCCACGCGACCCGGCTCAACGTAACCGTTTTGAGCATCATCATCAGCATAGCACCGGCTAGAATGGACAGCGGCATCCATCCCCAGCCCCTAGATTCCTCGAGCCGGCCCGTACCCGTGGTTTAATGTACCCATTCCCCGCTGACCCGCTTACGTTGGACGACGAGGGTTTCGCGGAACTGGCCATTGCCATGACCACGAGCAACAAGACTTCCAAACGGGGTAATGCCAGGCGGGCAGGATGGTTCAAAGGCGGCCCACATGGAGCAGATATCTGCGTCACGCGGAAATAGGTGTATAGGGCTGATAGCTATCCTGACATACAGCAGAAGACGATGGGAGTCATGAAATGGTTTGGTTCTCCTTTTGCTTTCCGAGGTCTGACAATGGTTTTATCTGGGATACCGTGTGCATGCAGGATGTGATTGTGAGGAATCCTTGCTCACCTCGTTTGAAGCGCGTCGACTCGAATGTCGTATTGCGGCCTTGGGAAAGTGTAACACCACATTGTAGATATGTTCTATCGCCAATGAACACCTGACCACATACTAGCAGAGAGGGCAATGACGACCAGGCCAGAGTGGCGTGGGGATTGGTAGGCTGTTCGACTCTTTGTGACTCGCTCGTGAGCTCCTACTGCATGGCCGTTGAGCATGGTTTGAACAGGAAGCTCCCCTGCATCGCTCACGTGAGGTCTCCTTTCTCCTGCTTGACCCCCGGCAAACTTTACTTTGATTAGGTAGCCTCACCTCATCGTCTGCAGGTACTCACGGCCACTGATAAGCTCGCAGCGGGGCGGCTGCCACGTTGCTCACTTGCTCGCCTGCATGGGCTGAAGGAGCCGCCACACACTGACCGATGATCCAGGGTCTGGTTGAAACGTGCATCTGCCCAAGGTCGTACTGTGTAGCCAAAATTTGGATCAAGTCGCGACCAGTGCGATTGGAGTTCTGATACGCACATGGATAAAACGCTTCGAGCCGAGCCATAATCGTCTGCAGTAGCCTGAGTGTCTTGATTCCCGTGCCGTTTCCGATCCGAAGTCTAGAATCTAGACCATAGCATGATGAACCACATGAGACCTGGTAGCTTCCAAGATGCGGACCTCACGATGATCATGTCGTGCTGTGGACGGTTTCGAAGCCTCATGGAGGACCTCCGTGCTAGGGTGCGTTAAATCCGGTAAGAAGGCGTATATCGCGGGGAAGTCCCGATGGGGCGCAATCGTGCTGCAGGCATGGGATCTGACAGCTTTTGCGAGTGGGCTAAAATAAACAATGGATCCCACTCGCACAACTCGGATGTCGTGGCGGATGTCAACCCGTAGACTCCGCAGGCCGTACGATGAGATGTATGCCAGTCTAAATGAGTCCTTACTCCTTCTTGAAGAGACTCGACAGAGACATGTCGAAGGCATCACCATAGTGCACCGACGCCCGGGTTCTTGCTCGGATGATCAGGCAATCCGCTTATGGCTGTAGTGCACGGATGGGGAAACCTTCACCCCAAAAAACCCCTCCTTGGACCCGGAATGTCTTTTTGCCATCAATCTGTCGCAATTGATCCAATATCGAGTGGCTATTGGCCCGTTCAGCAAAAAGTATACCCGGCGTTGAGGACGGGGCCAGAAGGTGGCCGCAGAAACGGCCTTTCCAGATTGTAATGCAGTACATGGGTATTTATGTACGATGTCCCAAGTCCGTAGCTCTGCAGTCAGGCAACTCGACCTCGTCTTCATTACTCAGCAGATGTATGCCCGCACAGCCGCGCAGAACGGGTTAGAAGGAGCTTTGCTCACCCATGCTTTACCCGTCACCTTGGTAACATGGGTATATACAGCCGGACTCCGATGGATGTTGAGGATCTGGTGAGAACGCGCAAGTGATGTACATGTACTTCGTCCAGGAAAGAAGGTGTGCAGTTGCAGTCCCCAGAACAGGCTAAATTATGACGGAGAAAATAGATAGTGATGGTCCCGAATGTGTGGGTCGCTCGCAAGGTAGGAAACGATTGGCGATACTATGACGAATTAGGTAGGCGGAGATGAGGCGATGTTGTTGAGTGGTGTTGAGCAAGAGTGTGTTAACCACATAATGGATGATTGTGGGCTGATGTATTCTTGAAGAGGCATTATCTGACGCCTTGAGTAGCATGCGGAAAGAGCTATGGAGCGCCTATGCAACACTAGACAGCAGTGAGGCATCGATTGAGCCTCTGAGGGCAACGAATGTCAAGACTATGTGCCACACAACGACGATATCCGGGGTGGCAGCGGCATCATTCTGAGAGATGAGGGTGTGAAGTCCTCACCTGCGTAAGTAGTAAAACGGGTGTGCATATGCGCATGCAGGTGGTGCAATTGCACACGGTCCTCCAATGAGGACGCATAGACCAGGCGCGAAAAGGCTTCGATACAAAGTGGTGTGCCGCTTCGGTTGGACTAGTAAATAAGGACTGCAGTTGTCCGGGTTGATTGAGCCGATTGGAGAGACCGTGTCTGCGCCTTGAAGTACCGCGAGGATGGCTCGAAGGAAGAGGCGGGGAAGGCGCCAGTTGGGACTTGAGCTTTGCCGTAAACTACAATGGCAGACTGCTCAAGACGGGGTGGTAACGGAGAGCAGAGATGAATTATTTTCATAGAATTTAAAACAAGTGTAGACGAGCAAGTGACAAAGTTGAATAGAACCGTAGATTGGAATATTTTGGAATCCGGGGTCTTCATGCCCGCCCCTCCCACCATGGCTTCCCGTGGAGTGCTGCAGTAGCAACGGGGAAGCACTATACCAAATGCCATGAATGACGAGTCTAGAGAAAAGGTCTGAACGTAGTGCCGCCGTGAAGAGGGATTGGTTCCAGCAATGAAAATGTGAAGACACCGTATGCGGAAAACTTGCCCAGCAGAACGTGTGAATATATCCCGTGTTCAACACCGAGCTCCAAAAAACGAACCCAAAGCCGAAGAAGGGAAGGATGGTCAACGGCAGACCTCGAAGAGAAGTTAAACTGACAGTACGTTCTAAAAGGTATCGGGTGGATTCGGGTGTCGTGGAGAATCCCTCGAGATGCGACTCTGATGCGGCACCCAGCAGTGGTAGGTATCTTTCTTTCTTCCCCTTGATGCGCGACTACTCCTCCCAATCGTCCCTACATGACTATGCACCCGCAGCATCCCTTCTTATCATTGTCATCCACGTCGAATCCTTCTCCGGGCTTTCCGTTCGCGCCGCCTGCTGCCACGCCATTGTATGAGGACATTTCCTTGTTGTATCTGCGGATTTCTCGTACGATGTCGTAGAAAGCGTTGTCGACGTTGATGCGTGATTTGGCAGACGTCTCGATGAACTTGCAGCCAAACTGCCGCGCCAGATTCTGGCCCTCTGCAAGCGGAAGCGGTTAGTATGTGGATGTAGCGAGATTGGCTGTCTGATGTGAAGTGAGACACAACATACCTTGTGTTGACACCTGCCTCTCGCCTTCCAGATCGCACTTGTTGCCGACGACAATCATGGGGAAGTAGTCCTTGTCCTTGACCCGGAGAATCTGCTGCTGGAAGGTCATAATTTCCTCGAAGCTTTGTCTGTCGGTTATCGAGTACACCAGCAGAAAGCCCTCGCCTGTCCGCATGTATTGCTCCCGCATCGCCGAGTATTCTTCCTGGCCGGCTGTGTCGAGTACATCAAGAAGAGCGACCTCATCGTCGATGACACACTGCTTGCGGTACGAGTCTGGCGGCGCCGGGTCAGCTCACATTGCGCGCCAGGATGCTGTGCTCGGCAGGGACTCACCCTCGATTGTCGGGTCATACTCGTCCACGAAGTGGCTCTGGATGAGCTGGATGGTTAAGCACGACTTTCCTACACCTCCGCCGCCGACTACCACGAGCTTGTACTCTCGCAGGAACTGGAGCGCG